CATATAATGTATTATTTATTTCAGGGGTACAGGTCTGTGATTCATCAGTCTTACACAATTCACAGCGCTCACCATAGCACATACCCTCCCCAATGTCCATCACCCAGCCACCCCATCCCTCCCACCCCCCACCACTCCAGCAACCCTCAGTTTGTTTCCTGAGATTAAGAGTCTCTTATGGTTTGTCTCCCTCTCTGGTTTCATCTTGTTTCATTTTCCCCTCCCTTCCCCTATGTTCCTCTGCCTTGTTTCTCAAATTCCTCATATCAGTGAGATCATATGATACTTGTCTTTCTCTGATTGACTTATTTCGCTCAGCATAACACCCTTCAGTTCCATCCATGTCATTGCAAATGGCAAGATTTCATTCCTTTTGATGGCTACATAATATTCCATTGTATATATATACCACATCTTCTTTATCCATTCATCTGTCGATGGACATCTTGGCTCTTTCCACAGTTTGGCTATTGTGGGCATTGCTGCTATAAAGATTGGGGTGCACGTACCCCTTCGGATCCCTACATTTGTATCTTTGGGGTAAATACCCAGTAGTGCAATTGCTGGGTTGTAAGGTAGCTCTATCAGGGAAGCCATTTGAATGTTCCAGTCTCCATCTTCCTGAAGCCACGTGAGAGACGCCAAGTGGCACCAGCAGAAATGACCCAGCTCGTCAGCCCACAGAATTGTGAGAGAAGTCACTCAACCTCTGCCTTCCTCCCTGGCCCTGCGGCCCAGCCCAGCCCCCTCCATGTTCAGCCAGACCCACCTTCGTGGTGCTCAGAGCAGGGGGCGGTGGGTCAGAGGTGTGGACTCCCACTCCCCTCTGCATCCCTGCCTTGGAATCAGTTTTGCTGCACCCATCGTGACTTCTCTGCCGTTCCTCTGGAAAGCCCTGGCTCCCGGGTTTTCTGTGAATAAAAAGTACCTGTGCGTCTTGTTACAGTGCAGATTCCTGGGCCATGATGAGTCTGCCCCAGTAGCTCTGGGGTCTGACTGAGGAGGGTGGGAATGTTTAGGTGGAGATGATTGTGACGAAGACTTCGGGGGGCCCGTGCTTGGAGAAACTCTGCCCTGGGCTCACAAGGCTCTCCTGGTGAACAGAGGGCATTTCTTTGCCACAGGTTGTTCTTGGTGAGTCAAAGTGTGCGTGCGTATGAGAATGTGCAGGAGCATGTGGGAGCATGTGTGTGTGGTGTGTGCGCAGGGAACGTGTGAGTGTGAGCGTGGGACTGCCGGCGTGCGAGCATATATGAGTGAGCACGTCAGTGTGAACACATGACCATGTGAGTGTGGGTGTGTAAGTGTAAACACAGCATGGTGCCCGTGGGAGGGGGAGGGACGAGACCTGGGGTGGGCCGCAGAGTTGGGCGGCAGTGGGGTGGAGGTGTGCGCGGGGGGCTTGTAGGTGCCCCGGGAGGAGGAGGAGAAGGGCTTCTGTGTGGGTCGTGGCGAAGTCCAGGGCCGTGTTGCTGGCACTGGTGGCCGGTGGCGCCTGGCCGCCGCTTTGCTTTTCCTCCGAACACATGGGCCTGTGCTTTGGCGGGGCCCAGAAGCCTCGCGTTATAAAAAGGTGTCTTGTGTGGGTCATGGAAAATGGGCAAAGAAAACCACCTGGACCAGGGAAGGGATCTGGGCTAGAGCTTGGCAGGCGGCGGGCCCTCCCGAGGCGCTCACGGCCCCGCTGCCGGCCTGCCCGTGGCCCGTGGCCCATGGCCCGTGGCCACACTCATAACCTGCCCAGGCGGTGGGGGATGTCACCTTGTTCAGTACTGCCCCCACCCCCCCACCGCCTCTCTTTAAGTGAACTCCTGGTACTGGAGTTGGGGATTAGACGTGGTGTGCTTTTCAGAAATTCTCCACTACCGTTCGGAAAGTCACAGACATAATAACAGTACTAATAACACTTGCTAGCATTTATTGAACATAGGTCTCCGTTCCATCACCACGCTAAGTGCTTCTGGGGCATTGGCTCATTCAGTTTCGACTTGCATGATCACAGACATCTTCTGGAATACTGATCCTGAAATTAACATTTAAAGCGAAGTGCAGATACCCCTGCTTAAGCCGAAACTTTTAAATACAAATATAGAGGAAAAGGCACCAACCGGAAGTGCGCACCCCAGTGAGTCAGCCCAGGTGGGCACACCCGTGTAAGCAGCGGCCAGGGGAGAAATGGAGCTGCCCCAGTTCCCAGGAGCACCCCCCCCCCCCCCGCCCACGGTCCTGCCTACCCGCTGCTCCCTGCCCACTTTCCAAAGGGAATTGCCATCCGTCCTCCGACGCGTGGCTTAGGTTCGCCTATTTACAAACTTTCTGCCGATTGAAGCGCACAGGAGGGGGTGTTTTTGTGTCTGGTTTCTTTCCCTTGACATTGTGCTCGTGGGAATCAGCCATGTGGTTGCATGTAGCAGGGCGCAGATGTGAAGCCGCTGTAGCGGATTCCACGGGAGACTCCACTGAATTTTCTCTAGCCCTGCTGCTCGTGATAGATTGCTTTATTTTTTTCTGATTTGGGCTATTACAAATATGCTTAGGCAGCTCTACTTTTTATTGTTTGGTTTAAGGAAGTCTGATTATATGTCCCTGTTCAACTCACAGTCTTAAGTGCTAGATTCAAATCCCAGATGGATTCTCCCTAGCTCTGTGGCCTTTGGGGAAATTCCTTCGCCTGAGTTGCGTTTCTCTCTGGGAGTAATAACCATGCCTGCCTGATGTCCATTTCCTCACCTCTCAAGTCGGAATGAGCAAGATCTATCTCCCAGGACTGCAGCGAAGGGCCAGATAAGGCCCCTCCTTGACTCCTCCAGGGATGGCTGTGAGAGCAGAGAAGGTAATTCCTCTGACAAGCTTCATGACATGCTCAGCACCGAACCAACATTTCCCTGTCCCTGTTTTCATATTGGCAAAAAGGAAAAAAAAATTATCCCTGGACTATAAGACCGTAAACCAACTAAAATAGTTTGCTCATCAAAACTAACAGCTTGGTTGGGAAGACTCCCACACCTTGGCTAGCACCCCGCAAGAAGCTATTGTATCATATTATATTTGCCCAACCCCAGGCAGTTCCCAGCTTTGCAAGGCTCACTTCAAACCATCATCTCTGGCTCTAAACCCTGTCACTGTCCTCCCAGACACCCTCCGTCTGAGACATCCCTCAGACGTTGTCACAGTGATGCTCTCCCTTAAGTCCAACAAACCGTTCTGCTTGGCCTATGGGTTTGTCTGGGTTTTTTGGGGGGTGTGTGTATCAATACTTAACATTGCCCTATCTTCCCCCTCCTTTCTCCTTCTCTGTCATATCATTTGATCTTCCTAAAAGCCCCAGAGAGTAGGTGTTATTTATCCCCATTTTACAGATGAGGAAGCTGAGGCTCAGAGAGAAATTAAGTAATTTGCTCAAGCCTACTCAGTAAGTAGAGCGTGCGAACTCAGATCTGGCTGATTCTAAATTCTGCTTGACTTTGTGCTTAGTGCTAAGCGGGTGGGAGCTAGTATTCGTGTTGCTATTACCCGGAGTCAAGCTACAGGGAGCACAGGCATGGCCCATCAGGGCCCCTGATGGCGCGGAGGCCAGGGTGATGGGGCTGAGAAGTCCTGGGGCCCTTCCTTCCAGGCCTTTGCCTCTGACCTCTACCTCCAGCATTGTCGTCTGGTGCTCTTCTAGACCCTCAGGTTACATTCTACACTGAAATAGTCTGCTCATCCGGGCTAACAGGTTGGCGGTGAAGATTCTCACCGTTTGGCTTACACCAAGCCAAAAACTCTTGTGCCATATTATATTCACCCAGTCTCGAACATGTGTTACTCTATGTTCACATTCAACTGACAGTTGAGAGCGATGGATTCAAGTCTTGGATACAGACTTGCTGGCTCTGTGAACCGCGGGAAAATTACTCAGCCTCTCTGAGCCTCATTTTCCTCTGGAAGGAATAATGCCTAACTTACCTTAGTTTCCTAGTCAGTCAGCAAGTATTTCTTGAGCACCTACCATGTGCCAGGCATCATTCTAGCTCCAACAGGGAACCACACAAAGATCCCTATGTTGTTCGGTGCCTTCGTCCCTCCAGTGGGAGGCGCTCTTCCCTTCTTCCTCTCCCCCACCCCACATTTTTACCTAGTGATTGCCTCCTTATTCGATCTAGACTCACGTCTGATGTCCTTTCCTCTGGGAAGGCTCCATGGCCCCTGGCAGAGCACTGACCACTGTTCACGGAAATGCTGGGTAGCTCATGTCTCTCCATCACCCATAAGCCTCTGGATTTCCTGCACCCTAGCATCCTTGGTGCCAACTGCGGGGCTCGGCGCCCAGTCAAATGTCAGTACAACATAGATAGAACTTCCGTTGTCCTTCCATCCTGCTGCTGGGACCCCTGATGCAATGACCGGCAACCTAGCAGCCAGATTGTACCATGAAGAGGTGGATCCCACCCAGGGATGGTGGAACAATGATGTCAGGAGCTTGCATCCCTGGGGACTCCATGAGTGGAGTCTAGGTAGCAAGTCTGGACTGCCTTCCTCCCTTCTCTACATACAGGAGGAAGAAAGGAACAAAATAAAATTCTCTTTTGTTTCGACCACTTTTATTTGGGGTCTCTCTTATCTTCACCGAACAAAAGCTGCCTTTGTGATTGATATCCACTATAAAGATTATGGGTGACCTCTATGTTTTTGGCTTGAGTAACTGGGTAGATGTTGCCATTTAAGGAGATGGTGAAGTAGGGAAAACAAACCAACAAGGTCGGGTGCGATTCAAGAGTTCTCTCTTGTTTACGTCCAAACTGAGATGCATATTATACATCCACGAGGAGCTATAGACAAACAAGCAGCTGGATATTTCAATGTAAGCCTCGAGGCTTGAGTGGAGGCAGAACTGAAGGTACAGATTTGGAAGCCATCATAATGGGGTTGCGACTTCTCAGAGAGGCCCCAGCAGCATTCAGTCTTCCAAGGGGGAAATGGCTTTGCCTTCCCTGTTATGTGTAAGCTTCACTTTTTACTGTAGATTCTTAGATAAGGATTGAATTTTGGTAAATCAAATTTCATTATACACATACTGGACAAACTTGCCATTTCAAAAAGTCCTTTGTAAATTATTATTATTGGAAGACCAAGTTTCTTTCTGTCACTTTTTCTTCTCTGATCCTGTTTAGTTTGTCCACATTTTGGGATTTTGATTTATCCTCAAGCATTTCCTTCTTGCATCTTCTTTCCTAAAATAAGAAATAAGAATTTAAAATGTTATTTTAAAAACGGAAAGTAAAAGTGAGAGTGTTACAGGGGGATTCAGACAATCTAAGAGACATGGAACTATAGCATTGGAAAAGAACTTTCTGATCCAGACACCTGCCTGGAGTGGGTTCCATGTGAGAAATCACAGCACATTAGGGCTGGCAGGGACTTCTGAGGTCTAGTACGCCAATGTTTCCCAGGTGCTGACTTATGGAATGGCACTGGGTTTTAGGGAATTTTTTCCCACTTAACAAAACTTTCAGTGCTGAAGGTATTTACTTTTGACTCACCCAGACAGCAATGGACAAACCCAAACTTTATTCTCCATGGTCAAGTCAAAACTGGGAATTTTTAAAAAAATTTGTCCATTTATTTTAAAGATTTTATTTATTTATTTATTTATTTATTTGGGAGAGAGAGAATGAGAGAGAGCAAGCACATGAGAGGGGGAGGGTCAGAGGGAGAAGCAGACTCCCTGCCGAGCAGGGAGCCCGATGCGGGACTCGATCCAGGGACTCCAGGATTATGACCTGAGCCGAAGGCAGTCGCTTAACCAACTGAGCCACCCAGGCGCCCTGTCCACTTATTTTAGAGAGAGAGAGAGAGTGGGTGCAGGGACAGAGGGAGAGGGAGAGAGAATCTCAAGCAGACTCCACATCAAGCACAGAGCCTGACACGGGGCCCGATACCACGACCCCGACATCATGGCCCTGAGATCATGACCTGAGCCGAAACCAAGAGTCAATTGGCATTCTGGCCAATGCTCAGAAATCTGTGGTTCTAAGCACAGCTCTTAACTGACTGAGCTAACCCGGTGCCCCCCCAAACTCAGAATTTTTAATGAATCCATATATAAGTATAATTTCCTATTGAGGATTTGTGAGGTTTTATTAAGGATAATGAATTTAAAAGGAAGCTTAATAAATTCCTAACTCTACTGAAGAATATATGTCCTATGGACTGAATGATTAGTTCCCCCCTCCCCAAATTCTTATGTTGAAACCCTAATCCCCACTGTGATGGTATTTGGAGGTGGGGCCTTTGGGTGACAATTAGGTCATGAGGATGGAGCCCCCACGATGGGATTCATGCCCCTATAAGAAGTCACTGAGAGAGAGAGCTTGCTTGCCCTCTCTCTGCTCTCTGCCCTGTGTGGATACGGCAAGAAGGTGGCTGTCTACAGCCAGGAAGTAGGCTCTTATTCCCTCACGGCCAGACTCTGGAACGGTGAGAAGTAAATGTTTGCTCTGTAAGCCACCCAGGCGATGGTGTTTTTATGATAACAACCTGAATAAAGACAATATACCTGGTACATATTTGTCTGTGCTGAGACACAGGTGCCCTCATAGGTAATTATGCAGTTTTACTGAGCAGTGATCAAGAATTCAGATAGTGTATCCTTCCAACTCTCATTTGACAAATAAGGAAACTGAGGCCACCAAACATAGACATATGTTAAACAAATATGTATGTTAACCAAACATATATATGTGTAGATACATATATACATACATACATAGATATATATTTGGAAGAGATAAGGCTGGTGTTGAGAGGAGTTGGATGTGAGCGTGGGGTGGGTGCTGGGTAGTTGTAGGAGCTGGGCAGATGTGGGGGGTGGGCACCAGATTGTCCAGTGAATGCCGAGTCACCCACTCAGTGGACGGGAGAGATGACAAATGAGACCGGTGGGGAAGGGGGTGGTTTCTGATAATCACAGGGGCTTGAGCGCTCCTAAGTGTACAGCGGAAATGGAATGGATGGTAAGAAGGGGAGAAATCAACGTGTGGTCCCATAAATAATTTATACAACCTCTTGAAGTGATGGGTCGCTCAACATCAAATGCTCTGTCTTTCAGATTCCACCCCCTACCTGCTTCTCTGTAAGACGTCAGCTGGGTGTATGGAGGGGAGCTCAGGCAACACTGGGAGGCGGGGGAAAGGGGGACTGGGTCGGGAGTCACCACTGACTTTGAAGACTCCCCAGGGGACTCGCAAGACTCATCATGTCATTATACTCATGGCTGTGATTTATTACAGAGAATGGGCACAGAGCAAAATGAGCTAAGGGTGAGGGCGCATGGGGCAACGTCTAGAGGAAACCAGGTGCAAGTTTTAAGACTCTTCTCCCTTCTCCCAGCGGTCACACAGGGATGCACTTAATTCATTAGCAACCAGTTGTGACAACACGTGTGAAATGCTGTCTGTCAGGAAAGATTGATGGAGCCTAGAAGGCCAGGGACTTCACTGGGGCTCAGTCACGTGGGCACCCTTTGCCTCGCACGTACCAAAATTCCAGACTTCCAGAGGAAGGCAGGTGTTCAGCATAAACCATATTGTTTGTACCAAGATTTTGGGCACAAAAAGCCACTCTTGTCAGTTCTGGGAATGGTGACAACCCTGCCTGAATCCAAGTTCCCAGAGGCCAGCCAACCTTGCAAATAGTCCGGAGCTGGCTATGTTAACTCTTTTCTGCAAGGGGCCTTGGATCCATTTGTATCTTCTCCATAGCTGGATCCATGATCACCACATCACTGTGGGTTCTAGGTTCTGCCAGGGGCCATGTGCTTTCCAAAGTCCTGCATATCCTGAGCTGGCCACAGGAAGCTATGTGTGGTGGGGCAGGCCATCGACCCAGCCAGACACAGCCTTCCACCAGTGCTACCATCCTGTGCCAGAGGTGACCTCACTGGGACTTCTTTCCATCCTTCCCACCCCCCCCCCCAATTCCTTATGGGAAAGTATGGCATGACCCTTATCCCCCTTAGTATCCTATCTGCCCCTTGGGTCTGATCATCTGTCCATAGCTTGGTCCCAAGGCAGGAGGTGGGAAGGCAGTGCAGGACCCTAGCATTTGAACTGCTTTCTCTGCCTTCTTTTCTTTTCTCCTTCCCCCAGGCCACTGAGCTGGGGACAGGTGGCTTCCCATGCCTTCAAAGCCACAACATCATACTCAGAATAGACTTGGGCATCTGGGCAGCCAGTCCTAGCTGCTGTTAATGTATTCATGAGAGCTAGAGAAACATAGACAGTCCTTTTCTCTCTTGGCAAATGTTGGCTTCCAATGCTGCTTGGAGATTCAACGTGGACAAATTACTTTTTATTATCATTACCATTATCAACATTCCCCAGCAGCATGGGACTTTTATTACAATCAATGAAGCTACATGCGACACATCATCACCAAATCCATAGTTTACATCCGGGTTCACTCTTGGTGGTGTACATCCTGTGGGTTTGGACAAATGTTGAATGACATATATTCATCATTATGGTATCATACGGAGCGTTTTCACTGCCCTAAAAATCCTCTGTGCTCTGCCTATTCATCCCTTCTTCCTTGCTGAGCCCTGGCAACTGTTGATCATTTTACTGCCTCCATAGTTTTGCCTTTTCCAGAATGTCATGTAGTTGGAATCATACAGCGTGCAGCCTTTTCAGATTGGCTTCTTTCACATAGAAATATACATCATTCTTTGCATTTTCCAGTTGGAAAAGGGAGGCTGGAAAGTCAAGTATGTGTCAATCAGAGTCTTCCACTGAAGGCAACTACTCTGGAGTGTTCAGAAGGAGCTCAGCCCTGCCGATGCCCTGATTTTGGACTATAGGACTCCAAAACCGTGAGAGAATAAATTTCTGTGGTTTGAAGCCAGCAGATGTGTGGTGATTTGTTTTGGGTGCCACAGAAAATGAATACGCTGTCACTTGGCATCGATGCCAAGGTTCCTAGGGAAGCATGTGGGATGGGGTCCTGTGAACTCACAGCTCCTCCAAAGAACCAGACCCTTGGGCTCTACCTTGCCACACAGCACTTACGTCTGATGGGCAGAGCCCAGGTCCCTTGCTGCATTTTAGCTGCAAGGCATGCTGGGAGCCAGTATACTTTCTGGCCCCTCCCTGGAGTGGGAGGGGTTTGCAATGCTCAAAGATGCTGGGTGGCTGTAAGTATGACAAGCATCCTCTCCAAAGGGGCTCAGCCAAAGTCACTGTGTTATTAGTCTACTTGGGTTGCCATGACAGACTCTGTGGCTTAAATAATAGACATTTATTGTCCCACAGTTCTGGAGACCAGAAGTCCAAGACTGAGATTCTGGCAGGGTTGAATTTTGGGAGGTCTCTCTTCTTGGCTTGTAGACAGCAGCCTTCTCATGGTGTCCTCCCAGGGCTTGTCCTCTGTGAGTGTGCCAGAGAGAGCGAGCTCTGGGGTTTCTGCCTCTTCTTATCAGGACACCTGTCCTATTGGATAAGGGCTGCACGCTTATGGTTTCATTTAACCTTAATAACCCTTTTGTTTTAAAGATTTATTTATGGGGTGCCTCAGAGGCTCAGTTGGTTAAGCATCTGCCTTTGGCTCAGGGTCCTGAGATTGAGTCCTGCGTCGTGCTCCCTGCTCGGTGGGGAGTCTGCTTTTCCCTCTCCCTCTACCCCTCACCCCCACTCGTGTGCTCTCTCTCTCAAAAAATAAATAAAAATTTAAAAAGTAAAGATTTATGTATTTATTTGAGAGAGAGAGAGAGCATGGGGGGGAGAGGCAGAGAGAGAGAGAGAGGAAATCCCAAGCAGACTCCCTGCTGAACGTGGAGCTTGACACAGTGCTCGATCTCATGACCCTGAGATCATGACCTGGCCGAAATCAAGAGTTGGACACTTAACTGCCTGCCGCCCAGGTGCCCCACCTTAATAACCCTTTTAAAGACCTCACGTCCAACAGCCACACTGGGCATTATGCATCTCCACATGAATTTTGGAGGACAATCCAGTCCAGCACAGTTACACAGTTGTTGGGGTGTGCTGAGCTCTGTGCACGCTCGTGGCTCTGAATCCATCTCTTAGCTCATCCCCCATCAGATTTGGGCATGCTGGTCACCATGTATCTAGAAAAAGCAAGGGTGACTGGCTTCTGGCACCATTTTACCTTATTGCCTGGCAGGAAGGGGGCAGGGGAGGGGAGGAGATCAACCAATTACCCTAGGACGTTGGTGGTGGAGCCGTAGGTTCTGTGTCTCCACCCACACCTTGCAGTCTGTGTATTCATAGTTCTTAGTGGCAAACAACAGAAACCAAGTGTGGCTTAGGTGGAGAGGAATTTATTGGAGGATTGTTGGGTGACTCAGAGAAATGCTAAGAGTGCCTGGAAATAGCTAAAAAGTCAGCAGGAAGAAGGGAGGTGGAACGCCATGATCCCAGTGCACAGTCAGTCCAGAGAGGCCACCGCTGCCAATGCCACAGGATTTTGTGGTCCTGCCACTACAGCGGATTCTCTGCTGTCCCTGCTTTTCTACATCAGCAGCTCTTGGCTCAGCGTACTATAGTGGGTGCCTCTGATCGGTCAGACTTAGATCTGTGTAGTCCTCACAACAATTCTAAAAATACGTATTATCGTTCCCATTTTACAGATGAGGAAACTGAGACCCAAAGATGTTATGTGACTTGCCAATGGCAGGTTTAAGTCAGCCTGACTCCCAAGCCCATGCTCCCAGTAACCCCAGCTGTTGCCTCAGCCCCATTGCTGGATAAAGGACACGTGTGCTTCCAAAGGGGTCATTCTGGTTGCTCCTGCCAGTAATGTAAGTGTGTCCTCTTCTCACTCCACCTTTCCCAGCGTCAGGGGAAGTGTATCATTTATCACAAAGCCTTGCTAATTTGATGGACTAAAACAGTGTCTTCTTGTTTTGGTTTGCTTCTTTGCTTTAACTGTTGATGTTGAACATTTCCCCATATTCTATTATCCACTTATATTTCCTTTTCGTATGTGTGAAAAATCCCATCCCTGTTTTTTGTTCATGTGTCTACTGGGGTCTCGGTGGTTTTATCTTAGTTGTTTGTTCACATGAGCTCTTTACATATAGCAAAGAAGTTTAACTCTTTCTTTCTCTTTTTTCCCAATGAGTATTTTCACCATATTTTTATTTCCTGTTTAACTTTATTCATTTTCCTTTGACAAACAGGAGCTTTGCACTTTAGGGTCAAATACTTAACAATTATTTTTCAGGCTGCCTGCTTAACACAAGGGACTGTTTCAGGCGGAGACATCTCTAACCCTGAATACTTCGAGAATTCCTCTTTTTCATGCCCTGCCACCTCACAATACTTCTGGGTCAATAGGCTTATAAGAGTCCTTTCATCTCCAGAGAGAGGGTCATAAACAACTCTGAGAGGCACGGTTTTTCACTACACCCTGGGGCAAAGAAAAAAAAAAGACAAAGGTGAGTATTGTTTGCTCCAGTCATTGACACAGACTCCTCTCGTCCCCCCATCTAAACAACTATGGCTTGGGGAACGCTAAAACCCGTTTTTAAAAATCACGGAGGTTTGACCTGCAGGAAGGAAAGGCTCTGAAAGTGGGCATGTCTGTGAGTGCAGGGCCTGCTGACGGCCTGAAAAGCTCTCCTTTAACTCCTTATTGCCCACCCCACCTTGACCTGCGCCCCCAAGCTCCTCCGAGGGTTGATCTTGATAAAGCATGATCTCGATAGGAAGTCTAGACGATGCGCTGTTAGACATCTGGAGAACATAGGGACATGGTTGGTACACTGAAGCAAGAGTCTTGGAGCTATGTAATGTGGCACTTAGGAGCTGTGCAAATGGGAGCAAGTCCCTTAATCTGCCTGAGACTCAGTCTTGTCGTCTGTGTAATGGGATACTCGTGCTGGCCTTGTGTGATTGACATGAGGATTAGGGGTGTGCACGACATGTTCTTAGCTGTCTGGCATGTGGTTAAGTACGCAGCAGAAGCCCATTCTAATGCATCAGGAAAGTAACTTGCTTTCCTGCAAGTTCCGGGCAAGAACTTGCGGGTCATCTGCTGTGTGCCCAGCATTGCATCAGGTCAGTGGCAACTGGTCCCCCAAATCAACCTTTATGAATTTACAAGGTGCCACCCAGGAGCCAGGGCACAGCTCAAGAAATGACTCTGCAACCATCTGACAGTGTAGAAGTGCTGAATTATAGAGGAAGGGCTTTGCGTCTTACGAGAAGCGAGATAACGTCTGTAGGCTGAAGTATTAGGGAAAGCTTCCTAGAGGAAGTAGGGGCTTGAGTTGGGTTTTGATGATTTAAGAAACATTTTCTCCTTCTATTGGGACATTTTTTCCCTCTGAAAATGAAAATAGCTATATGTTTTTCCTTTTTAAAAATAATATGTACTCTTCAAAAAATACTTAGACAATGCAGTAAACGGATTTTATTTTATTTTATTTTTTTAAGATTTTATTTATTTATTTGAGAGAGAGAGACTGAGAGAGAGAGCACATGAGAGGGGGGAGGGTCAGAGGGAGAAGCAGACTCCCCGCTGAGCAGGGAGCCCGATGCGGGACTCGATCCAGGGACTCCAGGATCATGACCTGAGCCGAAGGCAGTCGCTTAACCAACTGAGCCACCCAGGTGCCCCAGTAAACGGATTTTAAAGATCTCAACACCCAGGAATACCTACCATTAATGTTTATATAAAATGTATATATTTGGATACAAATATAATTAGATTTGCTTATGTATTTATAGAAAAACAAGAGGATATATACATACTGTGTGGTAATGTCTTTAACTGATTCAGTCATTTCCTTTGTAGTGGCTGGAGTATTTCATCATATGGAGGTTTTATACTTTTTTAAACCAAACCCGAGGGGTGCCTGGGTGGCTCAGTCGTTAAGTGTCTGCCTTCAGCTCAGGTCATGATCCCGGGGTCCTGGGATCGAGCCCCGCATCGAGCCCCGCATCGGGCTCCCTGCCCCACGGGGAGCCTGCCTCTTCCTCTCCCACTGCCCCCTGCTTGTGTTCCCTCTCTTGCTGTCTCTCTCTGTCAAATAAATAAATAAAATCTTAAACAAACAAACCCGAATTGCTAGACCCTTAGGTGATTTTGGCACAGCTAAGTATGTGAATATTCAAATTCTTTCAATCAATAGCTTAGTGATTTTAGTCAAATTATTGTTGGATCACTTTCCAGAAATGTTGTATAAGTTGTATTGATTTACATTCACTTCCACCATCAGTACATAAGGATTCTCTTTTCCCCACACCATTCCCAGCACTGGGTCTTGTCAATATTTTATAATTTCTGCCAGGCTGCAGGCAAAAATGATATCACTCCTTTAATATGTATTTCTAGACCACCCTATGTTAACACTATCATGCTAGGCATGATAGAGACAGGGCCCCAGCCCTCCCCTCACAGAGTTCAAAGATCTACAGGATTGAGAGACATTAATTAAGCAGGTCCTGCAAATTTGCGAGGAGGGCTGTTATCATTTGCCTTTCTTAGATTATCCAGTCAGGTCCTTAGGTTTTATGGTGATGTAACTTCATGTTTGTCAGTGGACCAAGGAGATGGCTGCTCTCTTTTGTCTCTGTTAACTCATGAAATGATACAGATGAAGGGACAACACTACAGAACATCCCGAGGGATTTTCTAGGGGAAAAAGATGAAATCAGTTAGGCTTTTCTGGCCTCATTTCTATAACATCCTTGGAATCTTATTTATTATTAATGTCTTGAGGACTGCATCATGCCCGTGGGGATTATATCCTGATGTGGCATACTTTAATTGCACAACATGGGATAAAATAATAATTATATAAAATGGTGCTGGAATAACTGGATATCTGTATAAAAAAAAAGAGAGAGAGAGAACCTCCATGCTTACCTTACACCAGACAGCCAAATTTCACTCGACATAGATCAAAGACTTCAACATAAGTGCTAGAACCTTTATGCTTCAGCAAGAAAATACGGGAGAAAATCTGTGTGGCGTTGAGTTAGGCCAAGATTTCTTTAACAGAACACAGAAACACGAACCATCAAAGAAACACTTACTAAAATGGACTTCAGGTTTGAAAACCTTTGCTCTTCAAAAGGCACGGTTAAGAAAACAAAAAGGAGAGCAGACTGAGAGCAGATATATGCAAAACATGTATGAGCTTGTATCCAGAAAATTTGAAGAATTTAGAAATATCACAACCGATCATAAGAAATAATGGTTAAAAATTTGAACAGATACTGCACAACAGGAGATTTTTGAATAATTAAGAAACACATGAAAAGAGGGGCACCTGGGTGGCTCAGTCGTTAAGCATCTGCCTTTGGCTCAGGTCATGATCCCAGGATCCTGGGATCGAGCCCCGCATCCGGCTCCCTGCTCATCGGGGGGCCTGCTTCTCCCTCTCCCACTCCTCCTGCTTCTGTTCCTGCTCTCAGTGTCTCTCTCTCTGTCAAATAAATAAATAAAATCTTAAAAAAAAAACACACACATGAAAAGATGCTCAGCATCACTCGTCATCACGGACATGCAGTTAAGATGAATGTGACAGATCATTAAACATTCAGTAGAATGGCTAAGATTAAAAAGACTGACAACACTAGGTATTGAAAAGGATATGAGAGTCTCCTCCTTTGCTGGTAGTGATGCAAAAGGGTACAAAAGTCACTTTGGAGAGGTAGGCCGTGTTCTATAATGTGTCCTAGGTATTTGCCCAAGATTAATGAAAACATTCGTTCATACACAGACTTGCATGCAAATGTGCTTTGCAGCGCTATTCATATTAGCTAAAAACTGGAAACCGTGCAAATGTCCGTCAACTGATGGATGGATGGATGAACAGATTGTGGTAAATCCACACTGTGGAATACTGCTCAGCAATAAAAAAGGAATTCCATATTAAGGTGAATGAATTTCAGAATAATTTTGTTAAGTGGAAGGAGCCGGCCATGGCAGGCTACTTAGAGCATGATTCAATTTCCATAGAACTGTAGAAAAGGCAGGGCCACGTGGGTGGTTCAGTCGGTTAAGTGTCTGATTCTTCCGCCCAGGTCTCGAGCTCAGGGTTGTGAGTTCAAGCCCTGCACTGGGCTCCACACTGGGCGTGGAGCCTACTTAAAAAAAAAAAAAAATGTAGGAAAGGCAAAACCGTAGTGAAAGAAAGATGATCAGTGGCTGCCTGGAGGAGCCAGGGTCTGGGTAGGAGATGGACGGCAGAGGGGGCAAGAGGGAACTGTCTGGACAGTGGAAATATTCTGTATCTCGATTGCAGTCATGGAGGTTTATACTGTTTACAATTGCCTAAACTCAGCAAACTGTACCCCTAGAGTTAATAGGTTTTATTTATGTATTAAAGCTGGGAGGAAAAAAGAAACATCAGAAAAAAATTGAACTTTCTTGCCTCTCTTCTTATGTATTTCCTGCTTTGGTATGATTTCTATTTTGAATCACACGTGGGAGTGAGCAATTGTAAGGTTTTCAGTTTGAGGTTCTCAGTGTCTTCATCTGGCCCCCAGCAGCATAGCATCGGAGGCCCTTTTGGTCATGCGCTGGGGACACCGGTCACCTCCAAGGCATCTACTGCTCTTGTCCTCCAAGCTCTGTGACTTTCATGCCAGGCTTGGGGCCCCAGAGTCTCTGGTGACACGGGGGCCACAGTGCCGGGTTCCTGCCTCCTCTGGTGACTACAGATGTCCTCTGCCTCCCAGGGCACAGGGTGGGAGGCACTCACACCTCCCTTCTGAAATCCCCCCCAGCACCCTCCCCCCACCTTTTCTCCCTGGCATTCTCCCTCCCATAGTTTTACATTTGTCTCCAAGAAAGTCTTCATCCAATCCCTCAGGCAGGTAGCAAGAAGCTGCTTGAAAGGGAGGGGTCGTGGAGCAGTGAAAGATACAGGAGAACAAACACAAGTGAATATTTCAATAAATTACTGGGCCATGGATATCAAAGTGTGCATCAGCGATGCTAATGTCCGAACCGAAGAGCGGCAGGAGGTGGGGGTCCTGGAAGGACGGGTCACAGGGGCACGCACAGGGGCTGGCAGGGGTGCAAAGGGAGACGGGCCGTGAAGGCACCCAACAGTCATCGTGTGCCATGTCATCTCTCTGGCAGCTGCGCCTGTAGGGCTCAGAGGGGGACGTGACCTGCCTCAGGTCACACAGGTCCACGTGGGCCGTCCGAGCCCTCAGCCCGACTGGCAGTCAAGCAAGAAGAGAGGGGACTCGGGAACCGCTGCTGCTGCCTGCCGTCTGGCTTTGTGACCTGGAATCTGCCAACACCGCTGTGTGACCCTGGGTAGGTTAGGTCACCGTTCCCTGCCTCAGTTTCCTCCTCTGTAACACAAGGATGGTAGCGGCCCCCACCTGGAAGCGGGTGGGGAGGGGAAGCACATCAAACGTGGCCTAGAACATGGGCCCCTGGCACCATGCCTGAGCCGGGCATGGGGTGGCCAGAGGCAGCCAGGTCATTGGATCAGAGCTGGAGAGCTTCCCTCCGGGTCATCTGGACGGGAGTTGGGGAGCTGGCCAGGGCCCGCTGCAGTAGGGAGCAGCTGGGGAGCTGATTTCTAAGCTGTGCGTGGACGGGAAGGGTGGGTGAGGCCACGCAGGGGGCATCTGGAGTGGGGTCGAGCCCTAGGGTCCAACAGCCCTCTCTTCCAGAAGGCAAGGAGAGGAGCCTCTGGGGCCTAAACTGGCCAGAGGGGGCATCAGAAAATGAACAGAATAACGGTGGGTATTTCTTCCCTCCTCCTTTGTCTCCCTCATCTTTTCCTTCCTCTCTCCTTTTGTCCTTCTCTGCCTCTTCCCCTTCTCCTCTCCCCCTCTGTCTTCCTTTCTTTCATCCCCACCTTGTTCCAAAAAGACTGCGAAGAAGAGTCTGCGCTCTGAGCTATGTCATGAGTAACCCACTTGTGTACTTGCGGTTTACCTACCTGTAGAAAAATCTGTACCTAAGATCACCACATGCTGTGGGCGAATGGTTTCTGATTCCACTCCACAAATATTTACTGTGCTCTGGTTAACTGAGCGTACTTTGTGCTGGAGGTGCCAGAGAGATGCAAATGGGCAAGGCCAGTCGTTGGAGGAGCCAGTCGGGGGGCCCCTGGCTGATGTTGGCAGAAGACAAGCCCTCCTTTCCCAAGGATGCTAAAGGGCTCTCTGTCTCCCAGTGCCCTGGGCCCACTTCCCTCTTGAGCCGAGTGCAGAAAGGGGCATGGCTGCCAGTCCTGCGAGGTCTCAACAAGACTGTACATTGAAGGCCTAAGTCCACGGGAACGAGGCCGAGCCCGGCCTGCAGGTATGGGAGGGCTTGATAAATATCTGTGGGCTCACTGCTGATGGCATGCACGAGCTGGGATTCTGATTTCGCATCTATTTCTTCCTTGCCTGTGAGTTTTCCACGATCATCCATATACATAGAACTTTCCCCTTAACACGTTTTCCCGGACCACACCAGGCTTTGAAACGGGCGGCCCCAGTTTTATTTGCATGTCGTTTAGTTCTGAGAAGACATTTCCAGCCTAACAATCAAGCAAGCTTTAGCCAGGTCCCAGGATGAGCACAGTGCTGGTTTGCCAGAACTCTCGGGGTTAAAGGGAATTAGAAAAATAAGGGAAAAATAAGATCTGAAGAGCAACTGGGGGTTGCAGTCGGGAAGACTGTTCCCCAAATGCTTTAGGCTCTGAATTCCTGGCCTTGGTGTGACGTGGAGCCATCTGTGAGTAATTCTGACCGATGAATGATGAACAGAAGTGACGCGTGTTTCTTCTGGGCTGGATCACTGAATCGTTCACGCGAGGCCTGCCGGAGACTTCCTCTCCTCGGGCCTGGCAACCATCATTGCTCTAGGTAGGGGCTGCTTTGGCCTCATCCTTGAAAAATGCCATGTGGACAGCCCCTCTTCTGGCCACCACAGACGTGGTGGAGTGAGATGTAAGCCCTGGCTGTAGCCACTGAAATTGGGGCTTGTTTGTTAGTGCAGCATAACTTGGCCTGTCCTGACTGCTACATCGGGAAAACAGAAACCCTGACCTGAGAGGCTGGCCTTCCTTATCCTCTCTTCAAAGTTCAAAATACCAAATCTTCTCACTTTTCCTCAGTCTTATCAGGCAACACTGTGCTTTATCTGGTCAATATTTATCATGTAGCGTGAGTAAAAGAGGTAAAAAAAAGTTTTGTTAGAAATGTACAGAAAGCAATGAGTCCATTTGAGGTTGGGAAGTTTGCAGTGTGACAGAGGAGACAAGAAATGGAATCTTTTCCCTCACCCCTAATGTGGGTAGAACAACAGAATCCCAGGCCATTACCGGTGACCATTACGGTAGACTTTAGAGGTGATCTGACTTAACTTTGTAGTCCAAGAAGGCATTACTTCTCCATCTCTGACTTAGCTGTACCTACCCAGTGCCAGCCAAGAAGCTGAGCACTAGAGACAGAGGTGAATGAAACTCAATCTAATGGGTACAGTGACCCAAGAGGGGTTTGGACCTAGTGCTCAGAGCACCGAGAAGGAAAGAAGCTACTTCAGATGAGAAATCAGGGAAGGCGTCTTGGAAGAGGTGGTAGTTTACCTATGAGAGCCTTACCCCTCACTGTATGTTTGTATGTTTGGGCCAATTCCCGACTGATGTGGGAAATAAGAAAATGGATGTTGGCGTGGCTCACCACCTTCTTTGGGCCAACTCAACCCTCCGTGACCCACCAGAAATTACACTTCTCAGCCCTGTGACTTCTCAGACTGCCTTATGCATGTCCAGACTTTTGTCCAGGTACATTGAGGTCTCTGCTCTGGATGGTGAGAGCCCAGTTGGGTGAACCCTGCCTGCTCTGTAAAACCAGGAATTAAAACGAGAGCCTGACATTCTAGGCAAAGTGTTGGAAGTGCTCATCTAACCATGCTCTGTGCAAAGAATCCCTGCCTTGATTGGGGTGGGTGGCCATGTGTTCAACTCCCATCCCCAATCTCCTGTGGGGGGAGAATCACTGAAGAATGGCTTTGTTCTGGGTTGTTGAGCTCTGCAGCCTTTAGCAAGCAACTCATTCACAAGTGAGTACAAATTAATACAGTACATACCAGTTACATAAATATTGTGCTGTAATTGATTGTCTTCTGTAATCAAAGGCAAGGCTGCTGACTTTGTTACTTCCCCTACCTTGCAACTCTGGGGGAAGGGAACTGAGGTGGTAGAGGTGGGTTTTGCTGCATGGGTCTGTTTGTAAGCTGTGTCTCATGTATTGAGAAGAGGGGTAAGACCCCTTACATTCAGATTCAATAAGTATTTATCAAATGCCTATTATGTGAGAGGCATTGAAAGACCTATTATCTTAGTTTGTTATGAATTGAGTTAATAGTAGGAACAATTTGATAATATGACACAAAAGTTAGTCTTTACGATAACATTTTCCCCCCCTGGTAGATATTATTGTTGGAATTTAAATAATCCTTTAGGTTTTAAAAACCCAATGTAAACTTATTAAGGAAAATAAAAAGACATGGCAGCTCCTACCTCTTTGCTTACGGAAACCACAGAGGGCAGAAGAACAAGATCTTCAGTTCCGGGTGGTAGGTAAGTGGACTGTAGTAGCCGATTTTCGAAAGTTAGAACAGGGTAGGTGAGCCAGTGATCTCCCGCTATTTGCCTGCATCCGCTTTATTGATTGTTGAACCACTTCCATGCATGGCATTGGAAATTTTAAGTTACTTCCCACAATACAAGAAAGCAACGTCATCTTTCCATTTACCTGCCAACGCTAAGGCCGGCTGGGTTTTTCCATCAGTTGTTTGGATTCGGAGGACAGTTAATTCGTGGGGGCAACCTCTCACTCCCCCCCCCCCCGCTGGGACTCGAGTGTACTTGGGAAAATTTGGAGGGAGCGCTGCCCGTTGGGAAGCCAGAGTTTTAAAATCCGCAAGCAAGCCCCTTTTGCCTTGTCGACGGAGAGACTCTGCGTAAAGCCCCGAGGAAGCTCAGTTGTCGCCTGACCCCCCCGGGTAGTGCGGTTTCCCTAACCTTGACCCAAAGTCAGCCGTTTTTAACTCCTTTCCAAAACATCGCACCAGCCTGGCTGTGGTTTGAAAGAGAAACGAAACCGCCCGTTTTGGGCGTCCGCAAAAGGGCACTCGCTCCCTGGGGGCTAGGAGCAACTTCTCGACCACCCGGCCCAGGCATCTGAGATGATCGCGGACCACCAGACCCCTTTCCGCTCTCGTGCCCAACTCGCTCGCTGCCACTTCCCTCCACAAACGCCGGCAGGAGTGGGTGGTAGCACCGAGGCGATTTTATTCGCGTTTTTTTCCCTCCGGGTTTTGTCATGGAAACGCTGACACAACCTCCAGACGGCGGCCGAGCCCGGCCGGGGACTGAGGGCTTTTGGGACCCTGCGGGAGCGCGGCGCACTCTGCACTCCCCGGGAAACAGCTGGACGCGACCAATTCCCGGGTAGGGGCGGGGGGAGCGCGACGCTCCGCCCCGGCGCTCGGGTCCCTCCCTCCTCCCGGCTCTCCGCGGGCGCCCTCCCCTCGCCGGGGGCTGCGAGTTGCATTTGGTAAGACCCAGCCCGGAATATATAGATCACTGGAGCGCAATGAAGTAGCCTTTGGAGAGGAGGGAGGGGGCCCGTCCGACAGCCCCAGCGGCCAGCGCAGCGGCGGCACCATCCGCGCTCGCACCCCAGCCGCCCGGCCCGCGAGGAGGCAGCGCGGCGGCCGCCGGCGGGAGCGGAGGCGGCGGGGAGGTGGAGAGGAGCAGCAGGAGGAGCAGGGCGCGCAGCCGGCGGGTCCACGCATCTCCGCACTTCCAGAGCAACTCCGGCGCCTTCCATACCCCTGCCCGGGGCTGGGGGCTCCGAGAGCGGCCGCGAAGCCCTCCCGATCGTTCCCGATCTGCCCAGCCCTGCCCTGCGCCTCCCGGGCTCCGCTCCGCGCGGCAGGGTCCCGGCTCCTGCGCCCCGGACGCGCCTCCCGGACACCCCGGTCCCCGCAGCCAGGACAAAGCCATGAAGCCGGCGCTGCTGGAAGTGATGAGGATGAACAGAATTTGCCGGATGGTGCTGGCCACTTGCTTGGGATCCTTTATCCTGGTCATCTTCTATTTCCAAAGTATGTTGCACCCAGGTAGGGGGCGCGTTAGCGTGGTTTTGTTGGATTTTTTTTTTTTTTTTTTTTTTTCTCTCGCGCGCTCTAGCTCGCTCACTGGCGCCGGGTTTCTGCCTCTTCCAACCTTACCTCTTCCCTCTCAGCCACCTCGGGGCTCCTTGGTCCCCGGTCTGCCCGGGTCGCCGAGTCGGGATGGAAAGGAGGAGGGAAGACGTGCTCACCTTCCTCTTCCTCCCGGCTCCAGGCTGGAGGATGGGAGCAGGAGGGGCGGTAGTTCCCACCCCCCTCCCTTTTTTCTTTGTGTCTCTTGTCTGTCTGTCTGCGAGGTAGCAGAGCAAGGTAGAGAGGTTGTGGGCAGCTCCTGGTGGTGGGGGACCGGTTTGAAGAGAACGCAACTCCCCGCTGATGCGGCGATCTGAGGATGAAAGAGGCGCCGGGAGCCTGCCGCCCTGCGCCCGGGCGCGCTGTCTTTTCCTGGGTGGGGGGCCCGGGGGCGAAGGCTGAGCGCCCCGGCGAGGTCGCCAGTCCCCGCCGCGAGCTGGGGAGCCCGAGGCTTAGGCTCCCACGTGTCCCGGGCTCGGCGCCGCGCGGAGGTGTGGGGAGAGGTTGGGTGCCCGGCGCTGCCCCTCCACCAGGCTGGGGAAGGGGCCGGGCGCCCGCTAATTGCCCCCCGGGGTCTGGCTCCTCAGTGACCTTGCGGCTGGTGCCCTGGGGCCTGCTTCACCATGTGCCCCCACCCCAACGGCTCTCCCGACCCTGTGCTGGTCACGGTCCCCGGGTCACGCCTTGACCGCAGCAGTTTTGGAGGAAACTTTGGCTGGGTCCTGAGCTGACCGTCAGGTTGCTTACCCCACTCCTGGGTTCCGAGCATCCGAAGTCCCCCAGAGGGCCCCGGGGCTTGTGGCAATGAGCCCCCTCCCCCGCAGCCCTCGGGAGCTTCTACAAGTTCCACATCTGAAATGTGGACTGGGGGAGGATCGAGGCTCGCCCCTTCCAAGGGGCGCTAAGGAAAGTTTGGGACCTGGGGAGGGAGGGGCGCCTTCGAGCGCGGCGGCCGGGGGTTCGCAGCTCGGGCCCCCAAGCCCAACAGGTAAAAACCTTCCGAGGAGGCTTCGGGGCGACGCGGCTCTCCCCGGGGAGCCGTGGTATCCACACCCCACCTCAACCCCGGCAGGCCCCCGCTGGGCCACCTTGGCTCCGAAATCCATTTTTTTTACGCCTCCGAGTTGCCTTTCTCATTATAGCCACAGCAATAATTTGCTTTTATAATTGCAAGGAGGGAGATGGAAGCACATTTCCTTCCAGGGAAGTGGGGTTGGTGTTTTTTTTCTTTTTGCCGCCCCCCCCCCCCCCCGCGTTCTCCTTTCAGTGTGTATCTAACACTTTGAGCAGACGCAGCCCCGAATTCTTCTAGCCTGCATTTGGGTGGGTGGCAGAGGAATAAAGCTGTTCTTGCCATCAATCAGGCCGGGGCTGCCGTTGGGAGCTTCCTTGACAGCGCGGGGTCCGCCGGGCCCCTGGGCCCAGCTCCCCGCTCAGCCGAGCAGTTGTTAAAGCGGCCACACGGCCAAGGATATGGTCTGACACTACCACACGGAACCTCAGGACCTCCGAGCCAGCCTTGTAAAAGATGGCTTTTGTTTGCAGTTGGGTATTTTTAGTTCCATGTCAGCAAACTGCAGCCGTGTTTGTCTCCTCACCCAAACCGGTGGTTGGGAAACTTCTAAGGCAATTTAAAAATGGACCTCGCTGATGTTCTGGGCGGCGGGCGGTGGTTGCAAGCGCGCTGGGCCAGACAGAGGCATCCTGGAGGCCAGACCAGACTCCGCCCCGGGGACTGGGGGACTGGGTGGTGTGCAAGTACACTGGGGCTCCACCAGTTTAAACAAAGGGCCGAATGATTTGGTCTAGACTCTAGACATGTGTTTAGGTCACTTAAAATTTTGCCTGGATGGAAAGTGCCAGGTAGCTCTTTGCAGAAATGCCTGGAACAGGGATGGATCTTAGACTCCATCGGGAATGCACTTGAACTTCACTGTACCTGTTAGTGGTCCAGGGAAATATAACTATATATAACTATATATGTAACTGTGTGTGTGTGTGTGTGTGTGTGTATATATATATATATATATATATATAAAACTATATATGTAACTATGTAAATTAACTATAATACCACCGCTATCCATGCTTTTCATGTAGCCTGGGCTTTGCTTTTCTTGTCTGAGAATTAGGAAATAACTTTCTAACCAGAGACACCAGGAAGAAATTTCCAACTTGTAACTGGCACTTTGCTAAAATTTCCAGCCCCGGTTTTCAACGTTGGCTTGAAAGTGGCACTGGACTTTGGGAATCAGGGACAGAACTTTCTCTAAGGGTGTCCTAATAAGGATCCTCTGTCCTTGACCCTATGTTCTCAGCCTTTGCTTCCCTTCCTAGCCCCCTTGCCACCCAAGAAATAGCATTTGTTTATTATTCATATCTCTATGAGTATGCTCTTCTGACTACCCCCCACCCCGTCCTTAGCAAGTACTACTTTCAGTACCTTCTCTTCAATACAGACCTGAAGATGGTTCAATCGAAAGGTCTTCCTTAATTTGAATTACATATGGTTCCGTGAAAACTTCATGCCAATGGTTCATTATAACACAGTGTGTAAAAACATGTTTTGAAATCAATATTAAACATTTCCCTTTCTGTTTTTTTCCATTTTATTCAACTTTACTGACATTAAACATCACGGAGCTGATGCTCCATCTTTTCTACTGCTTTGAGTTTCTTTAAAAGTGAGGTGATCTTTGCTTCTTCAATTTAGGGTAATGGTGGGATGATCCTTTGGCCGGGCTCTGCAGTTTCAGTCTTTCCAGATCACCCGGGGAGAGGCAGAAGGGACTGCAGCATGGCTTGGATTGGGTTGCTAAAAACCCAATTGGAGCCGTCTGGCAGGAGTTTCACATACCTGTATCTGATATAGAAAAATAGTATTCCAGGGCGCCTGGGTGGCTCAGTCGGTTAAGCGACTGCCTTCGGCTCAGGTCATGATCCTGGAGTCCCGGGATGGAGTCCCACGTCGGGCTCCCCGCTCAGCAGGGGGTCTGCTTCTCCCTCTGATCCCCTTCCCTCTCATGCTCTCTGTCTCTCACTCTCTCTCTCTCAAATAAATAAATAAAAAATCTTTTAAAAAAAAAAATGAAAGAAAAATAGTATTCCAAAAGAAATGGATTCCCGGCTTCTTTGGTGGCCAGAGAACACCTGGAGTGTGAGAGGAGGGAGAGAAAGAAGAAAGGAGACTGGTGATGGGGAGGGCTGGCTGTCTCTCCCTCTGAGTCTAATCTGGGGCCCATTGTCTTTTGTACTTTTCTAATTCATAAACTGAAGCAGTTCCTAAACTTGAGTAGCTGATCTTTGATTTGTTTGGAGCGTTCGGCAGAAGTGGGCCTTGTCAGGAAGGCAGCTTTCTTTAGATCTGTGACACTCTGATTTAATGGTTTTTGTTTAGATCAGGGCTTTTTTTTTTTTTTTTTTAAATTTTAGTTTTAAGTAATCTCTACACCCAGCGTGGGGCTTGGACTCACACCCCTGAGATCAAGAGTTGCATGGTCCACCGGCTGAGCCAGCCAGGTGCCCCGGGATCAGGTTTTAGGCCCCATTCTAGTTCCAGTGTTTTGCACAGTGCCTGACCCATAGTAGGCTCTCAGTAAAATATTTGCTGGATGAAAGCATGAAGTGGCTCAACCCTAGAAGACCCACTTCTCCGGTTTTTAGGAAGGTTGTCAAGTCTTGCCAAGAATGCCCTGTCAGTGAGTCTGGGTCTGTCTGGTGGGGACCGTTTCTTGCCTTCCTGGTCTCTGAGAGCCATCCCCGCCCCCCCCCCCCCCGACCCCCGCAGACATGAATTTGGTTTAAGTCATCATGCACCAGACAGGAGAATTCCCCAAGGCCTAGATTTGCTGCCCTGAGGTATGATGCAGCTGGGGGCACTGCTCCGTGTCCTGGGTACCGGGGAAGCTTGGCCTTGTTTAGCTACTGCCTTAAAGAAACCCATCCCCAGGACGAAAACCTTTTGTGGCTGGGAGCTGCCCCTGAAGTTGGTGAGAAAGGAAGCACATGCTATAGTGGTTTTTGCACACGTGTAGACCCTCGGCGAATGCATCCTCTAAAAGTGCATCCTGGACGGTTCGGTGTCTCGCATACCTGCCCGGGACGGCAGGGCTTTGATGGAGCTGCGTTGTGTAAGGCGAAGCTGAGAGGCCCCCAGGCTGCATTTGTGCCGAGTGTGTGAAGACAGATTCTCTGAACCTTCCTTTTGTGTCAGTCCATAGGGTTGTGGTTTTGTTTGAAAGCTTGTGTTCAAAGAAGAGAAGCCTGCGGAGGAGAAAGCCTTTCGTCTCTTTCTCGTCCTCTTTTTTCCTTTGCCATATGTTTACTTTCGCTGTTGCCTGGGATTTCTTTGCCTTGGTTGCATGTATTGAAAGATTATACCCTTTATTTAAAGACTTCTTGGGTTACCCCTTTGTAGTTTTACTTGATTAGATTGAAAGCACAGTGCTTTTGTGTTATAATTTCAGTCTAATTACAAACATAATATGTGCTCTTTTTAGAAAATTTAGGAAGTATAGAAGAGAAATAATGGTTTATTATTCCGGCACCCAGAGGCAACAGGTGCTTTGTTCTATAAATTATAGAATATATAGATTAAAAAAATAGTTGAGGTCACAGTATGACTTTTGTACCTGTTTTGATGTATTTTAGACAAATTCATCGTTATGGTGACTAGTTATTAAGTTTAAAGACAAAATTTAATCACAGCCTTTTTACTTTATAGACTTGCATATGCGTCTGCTGTCCCCTCCCCTCCCCCTCTTTGTAGGATGTCAGTCCAATTTTTTTTCCTTTTTTGCTGCACATGTTTAATTTTATTTTTTAATTTAATCTAATTAATTATTTATTTTTTAAAAGTAGTCTCCATGCCCAACACAGAGCTTGAACTCACAACCCTGAGATCAAGACCAGAGATC